TGTAAAATATCCATATGATTTAATATAACAAATATGGTTAGTCAAGACTCAAGAATTCCAATGAGTCCAAGTAAACTATACATTGATTTTTTAATTGATCTAAAGATATATACATAAGTGTTAAACACAAGGGTTGGCGGATTCAAAATTTAAAGCTTATGACACTACAAGAAAAGTGCAAATTACGTGAGGATATTTTTGGGGATTTTACAAAAAAATTCGCAGGTAATTCAATTTTCTGCGAATTTTCCTACGAAAAAATTTCTGAAGTAAAAACCTTCGTAGGTAATTATTACCTGCGAATTTTAAAATCCCCATATAACTTACCTGAGAATTTTTAATTCGCACGTAAATTACATGCGAATTTTATCGCAAGAAACACTAAAAATTCCCAAGAAACTTTTGGTAAAAGATCGTGAGAAAATGAAATTTTTGTGAATTTTCATAAGGGAAAATCCAAGTAAATTCGTAAGGAATTTTTGACAATTTTTTATGAACAAAATACATTAATTATTTTTAGTGTTACACTTTCATTTTAATTTTTCTATATTAATTCCTTTGTTGATAAATGTCATGACATTGTTATCATTAAATAAATTAATTAAATATGATGATTTTATTAATACTTGTGTCAAAATTATTACTTTAAACCTTTTCTTTTAAAGAACTTATTAGAGTGAGGTTATTACGTAATAAACCATTTGAATTGAAAAAGGAATCTATAGAGCAAACATCCTCAAGTAATTTTTCAAGTAAGAAAACCCTAAAAAAATTGCAAAATTAAAATGCACCAACGAAATCCCTAGATAGATCCCCAAGTAAATTCCCAAAGAAAAAATCGTATCTAAATCCGCAACTATAAAATCCACAAGTACTTCCCCATGTAATAAAATCTCCAGGAAAACCCCAAGGAATAAATCCCCAGATAATTTCGCAGACCAACAATCCTCAGGTAATTTCCCAAGTAAGAAAATCCCCAAGTAAATTTCCTAGTAATTATCCGCAGCTAAATCCGTAGGTAGCTTTACCTAGGGAATTTCCTACGAAACAACAAAGAAATTTATTATTATTTATTTACTTGCGGATTTACCTATAAAAATGGTATTTGCGGATAACTTTTTCAAATAATTCCCCAGGTAATATTTTGGCGCAAAGTGGCGCCAAAATTATATGAGAATTTTCCTGGAAAAATAGTTTTCGCAGATAAAATATTCATCAACTTAGGAATTTTAAATTTTCGCATGAAAATTCGCAGAAATTTTCTGCGGAAAAAATTCCCAGGTAATTCGCACTTTTCTTGTAGTGAGATGCTACAATGACCTAAAATGAACTCTACTATAATAATTAAATTCATGTGAACCAGTAACCGATCCACTAGATGAGCCCCGAGTGGAATAACCAAAGATTTAACTTATATATGTTGATAATATAAAGATTCTTTGTATTTTGACTTGTTACAGTAGATTACCATATTAGATTTGTTATGAATAATTATATGTTGTTTTAGGTAACTTAACCTTATGACGTAAAATAATTAAATTTTGTCAATGCATAGAAGTTAAACTCTTGTATAAACTGTAATAAACATAATAGGTCAAAACTCTAAGCAGGGGCAGATCTAGAGCGTAAAAACCGGGTTCATCGGAAGCCAGTAACTTTTGTTCATATCTTGTATACAAGAAATTCATTAAACATCTACAAATATTATATTGTGAACCTAAAATTTATTATATATTAACTCGAGATCATTGTAGAAACCCGTTAAATTTAAATCTTGAATCCGCCTCTGCCTCTAAGGACATTCTTAAAGGATATACTGATATAGTGGTTCGTCAGATTTCAACCGTTGTAATGTTCAATCTTCAATTATTACATCATATATGATTAGTGATGGCAAAATGGATAAGAAAAAACAGATATCCGCCGATTGACTCAGTTTCTATTCGTATTAAATATGGATCAGATCAAATAATTTATTCATTTTTTGCATTATCCGTTTTCGACCCGCTCATATCCGACCGACCCCGCCCGTTTTCCACCCTTATATATGATACAACAATACTTAACTTTGACTTTTCTCAATGTTACTAGTTAGAGATAGCCTGTGCTCAGTACGGGCCAATAACACTGTGGTTAATGCAGAAAATTTTTACAAAAAAATTGAGGTCACATAAATAGTCATCCATCTAATTGCTTAAACTAAAAATAGCCGATGAATATATAATGTATACATAATTTATATATTATATATGTATAATTATATATATATAATTTATAATCCATGTATATGGCAGAAATACATGGCAGGCTATTTGTGTAAAATCCCTATATTATATATTTGAGTTGTTGTTCCAAAATATTATAAATTTCGGGTCTACATTTGTCATTGCTATTATCATAAGTATGTGTTGTGATATACATCTTGCGGCGATACTATTATAAATTTTCTTTGGGAACTATAGATTATGGTCTACATTTTCTAATGCTATCGTAAATTTTCTTTGGCAATTATTTACTGTGTTTTACATTTTATGATACTGCTATAAAAAAATTTAGGAACCATTTTTGGGTGTATAATTAAATAATTTTGATATTGAAGTCTTGGTCTGTTTAACTTAACTACCAAATAGAGAAATATTAATTTTGAACAAAACTAGTGGTGTATGCACAAAATGAAAGCGTGAGATTTGAAAATATAATTTGTTGTTGGAACGCATATATTTTAGTTTGAGAAATTACATTAATCAAAAAAAAAAATTAGAAAAAATTTCGATTATGCACATAATTGATGCTGATAGTATTCGACAAAATGACAAAGTTAATTGACTTTATTAATTTTGATTATCTTAAATATGGAGAGGTCAATAGAATATTGGTCAAACTAAGGTACATAATTTTTGGTAGATAGTTTTAATATTTTCACTCTTTCTTTTATTATTCCTTAAATATGCGCCAAAAAAGAAGAAGCTGAAACTTGCAAATTGTCATTATTTTAAATAGCTTTTGAGTATTTTTTTTTTATTCTTTCATTCTTATACAAGCGTCTTTTTCCCCTAGGCGTTGCTCTTTTCTAGTTATATTGTGAAGAAGTAATTTTGATATAAATTTGTGACAAGTAAAACTTATCTGAATGTTAAGCTGCAAGTTAGTGTTTATTTATTTAAAAAATCATGCAGGTATTACTTCAGACCCTATTATTTATATAAATAATAATGTTATCACTTGCCTTTTAAGTTCATACAGTAATTTATGTAGTATATTAAAATTTTGGATTTAACTTGTTGATTTTCATAACTTTTCATTGTTTTAAGTGCATTGCCTTTTAGAACATTGAGCCAAAAAAATTAATTCAGTTATAATTTTACTTTTCTTTTAAACTTGATTTTGTATATTAAGTTTTAAATTTAATTATCACTTACAAGGTACTGAAGCAACAGAAATATTCTTGAGCATTGTAGTAAACTACCATTTCGTAGTGTAGTTGGCATCTATAACAAGGTTATAATTTTATTTCATAAGTCGTGGATTACTCTCTATGCAATAATTTAAATTTCATGTAATTAAAATAATGACCATTTAAAAAGCTAATCACATAAAAATGTCCAAACCGAGAAAAGGTATTTAAAATTTTTATGTAAGATCTCAACATAAAATTTCAAGTTAAGTTACAATACTTAACTTAAACTAAATCAAACAGTCTCTAAAGTTAATAAAATTACACCCAATAGTTAGCTTTAGCCACGTGGATATCAATTACACAATAAAGTACAAATTAATACTATATGTGATTAGAATCTTAATGGACCCCACGTTATTAAAAGTTGTGCCTAACAAATTTCCAATATGTGATTAAATTAATACGTATAGTTTCGTGGACCCAGATTTCTGTGGACCCAGAAGTGTAAGATTGAAATCCACAAATTTATGAGACAAAAAGGAGCCACATACAACTAGTGTCAGTTGTATGAGACACAAAATAACACTTCTTTTTATATGGAAAATTTTATTTTGTGTCTCATACAACTGACACTAGTTGTATAAAACTACTTTTTATCTCATAGTTATGTGAACCCAGATTTCTGTGAACCCAGAAGTGTAAGATTGGGATCCACAAATTTGTGAGACAAAAATGAGCCTCATACAACTAGTGTTAGTCGTATGAGACACAAAATAACACTTCTTTTTATATGAAAAATTTTATTTTGTGTCTCATACAACTGACACTAGTTGTATAAGGCTCCTTTTTATCTCATAGTTTTGTGGACCCAGAAATGTAAGATTAGAGTCCACAAATTTGTGAGACAAAAAAGAACCTCATACAACTAGTATCAGTTGTATGAGACACAAAATAAAACTTCTCTCACTTGTATAATAGATAGTCAAGTCAAGTCTCAGGCAGCTGTTCAACCACATTGCATCCAATTTGGTTTTGTATTTGGAATACATGGACCAAACAAGATTTGATTTTCCAACTCTGTTAAAGTGTTTCAATAATCCATATTACTTCAGATAATTATATTGTGAGATAAGTTAAAAAAAAAAAAAAAAAAAAAAAAAAAAAAAAAAAAAAAAAAAAAAAAAAAAACCTATCTGACGACGTTTTTCTCTGTGAACAAGAATTAATAAGCACATATAAATGTCTCAAAGTGGACAAAGGCAATGGTAAATACTCAAGAGAGTCTAGTCGAATAATCTATCTTCTGCAAAACTGAGGTAACTTCATTTACTATACTAGTCANAAAAAAAAAAAAAAAAAAAAAAAAGAAGACAGCCCGATGTACTAAGCTCCCACTATGCGGAGGGTCTGAGGAAGAGTTGGACCACAAGTGTCTGTTGTACGCAGCCTTACCCTGCATTTTTGCAAGAGGATATTTCCACGGTTTGAACCCATGACCTCCTGGTCACATGACAGCAAATTTGCCAGTTACGCCAATGCTCCCCTTCTATATCGTGAGATAAGTATTTGAATGAAAAACTACAATATAACATAGAATTTTAGGTAGCATAACAATGGTTCACAAACCAACAATTATATAACAACAGATACTGAAAAACAGTATTTACATTTTTGCAATAAATATGAAGTAACATAGATATAGCCTCATAATCTTAGAACAAACTTTTAATTCACATACAACAACAACAACCCAGTAAAATCCCACAAGTGAGGTTTGGGGAGTGTAGTGTGTACGTAGACCTTACACCTACCCCAATGGGACAGAAATGCTGTTTTCGATAGACCCTCGGCTCAAGAAGACAAACTTTTTACTCACATATATACATAAAAAGTCGTGAAAACTGATTGCTTTGATAATCTTGAAGGTATCCGACACCTCTTACTAAGGCGAATCCAAGATCAAGAGTAAGTAGGTTCAGAATGATTATGATCTTAGACATGTACCCGTGTTTGGTCTGAACAAAATGAGTTCAGTTGAACCGAACGAACCTGCCCTAAATCCGCCTCTTCCTCTCACTGCCAAAACAAAGGGCAACTCCAACGAATAAACCTCTCCTTTTCTTTGGCCGCTGAGATTGAAATTCATTCTTGGCAACAAAATCAGCCATGTACTCTACAACAGCCTGATGGCAAGAAAAAAGAAGAAAAATAAACTAGTTAAAATCTACTGATCTAAAGTCCAAAATTCATTGACAGCAATATAAATTAAGCTTAAGATAAACCTGAGCTCCTAGCTTTATTATTTGCCTTGGTGGTACTTCTAGTGGAGTCTCGTCAGCTCGAAAAGTTTTCAACTTTGACAATAATCTGAAGGAATCAGGGAGCATTCGTATTTGACTGTTACTGATATCGATCTCTTCAAGATTCTCAAGGTTCCCGATTGATCTTGGCAATGTTCTCAAGTCCGCGAAATTGTTAGCAAGATTAAGCTTTTCCAATTTGGTAGCAAAACAAAACGTTTCAGGTACGATTGCAACTTCATTGAAGCTAACATCAAGTTCCCTCAGGCGAGAGAGATTGCCCATTGTCGTTGGTAACCCTTTAATTCTGTTGATATGCAGCGTAAGAATCTCCAAGTGTTCGAGCATTCCTACAGTCTCGGGAAGAGCTTTAAGCTTATTAAAATCCAATCTCAACTCTACAAGTGAAGAGCAGAATCCAATCGTGTAAGGAAGTTCTTCGAGCTCATTCGTTTCCACGTTTAGTCTCTTCAATGAGGTTAAGTTCCCAACAAGATCCGGTAAATGAGTGAACCGGTTTGAACCCAAATCAAGATTGATCAGATTGATTAAGTTCCCGAAAGAAGATGGGAGCGATTTCAACCTATTGGCGTGGAGGTCGAGATCAGTTAAATTGAGCAGCTCACAAAATGAATCAGGAAGGTTTATAATTTGGTTGGAGTGAAGATCAAGTTTCGTTAAGGATTTAAGGTTACTAATTGTAGTGGGAAGAGCCATAATTTGGTTATCAGAAAAGTTTAGTTCAGTGACTTTCACTAACTTTCCTAATGACATAGGAAGCCATTCAATCTTGTCCATTAACTTGTTGTGAAGATCAATAACCTTTGCTCCAGTTTTCGCAGCGTTTTCAATTAGTGCGGCCACTTTCAAATAACTGTACTTCTCTGCGTGCTTGATCCCTGTAGGCAAAATCATACAACAATTAGGGCATAGTATGAATTACAAATAGAGGCGGTATGAGTTCAGTTCTAAGTTAAGGGGTTCTAAATCAAAAAGTTGTATATATATTAAATGGATTCTTAAGACAAATTATACAGTGTTTAGATCAAAGCTACTGCGTTCGACCGAACCATACTTTGGTCTCTAGCTCCGCCCCTAATCACAAACCTATCGCAAAAGTTCAAAAGGCTTGCCATATAATAATGCAACTTATGTAAGCTTCATGTACTCAAGATAGGAATTGAAAACTTCCACATGCTTACTCTCTAATAGTTATAAATCCATAACTAAACATCAGAAATTGCTAAAGATTGAAGATTTGGACTTCATATTAGTTGTCTAGTCATATAACTGACTTCAACTTGCTTGGGATTGAAGCGTAGTTATTGTTGTTAGTCATAAAAGTAACCTGCTCTTTTATTTGTTTTTGTTTAGCTATTATTGGAGGGCAGACACAGAAGATTAAGTCTAGAATCACCGGCTACAACACTCAATATGAGCCTATCTGCTCCAACTTTGGCACGTAGATTTAACCACACCTATGCTCACGAGCTGTATCCGGCAGTCCGGTAGATTAGTCGAGGTACATAGCAAGCTACCACCATCAATTGAAAAGGGGAATTAACTATAAACCAGGGTTTGAATCCCGACATAGACAAAAAGATGTTACTCCATCCATCCTAATTTATGTGACGTTCTTTACTTTTTAATCGGTCCCAAGAAGAATGTCACATTTCCTTATTTGGAAACAAATTATCTTTAAAATTCCAACTTTACCCTTAATGAACTGATTTACAGTCACACAAATATCTATAATTTGTTTTCCGCTACAAGTTTTAAAAGTCTTTCCTTCTTTTTAAACTTCATGTCGAGTCAAATACCGCCGCATAAATTGGGACGAAGGGAGTTTGTGATTTCTCCTATCTACTTCCGCCTCGGTGGACAAAGACATATAGTTATCCGGTACTTGTGCTAGTAGGATGTAGTAGCCTAGTAGGTACTATGTGTAAGAGTTGAGGTGCATACAAACTAGTCGGAATGATACCGCTATAATAAAAGAAAAGGGAAAGAAAAAAGTAAAAGAAGAAGAAGAGAGCAACTATATGTTTGACAAGATGTTAGATTCATAGTTCTGTCAATTCATACTAGTTTTAGCTCTAAATTCAAACATATAGCAGCAGAAAAAAGTACAAATAACAAGAAATCAAAAAGTTAAAATCTTGGACAAACAATAAAAGGAAAAATATCCAAACCTGAAGAGGAAACACCAGTATTTTCAGAAATTGCAACAAAACCCTTCAAACTATCACTCTTTTCATCACTGAACACAACTTTTTCTTCAATTTCACCAATTGAGTCCTCAACAGAAACCAACTCAGAAGCCTTCTGAATAAGTTCGTCAAAATTCTGATAAGTTTTTTCAAGTTCAATTAACTGAATTGACTCTTTCTTTTGTTCTTGACTTTGAAACAAAACTATGGATTTTCTCACTTGTTGTAATACAGAGTATAATTCTATTGGAACATCTTGTGGTTCTACTTTCTTGGATATTTCTTCAAGTTTAATTTCTTCTTCAGTTTCTACTGATTTTAGTACAGAATTTGCTGCTTCAACTTCTACTATTGATGGTCTTGTTGGTAGTGATTTGTAAATTTTTGTAATTTCTTCTATTATTTTTGCACAAGCAGGTAATGGTTTCTTGATTTGTGTAGCCATGGCTTTTTGCTTGTGAGCAAAGAAGATGAGAAATGATGGAAAATAATGGACAGTTGGTGTTTTTTGTTAAATATAATATCACACTCAAAAGTGTTGTGTGTTTACACTGAAACTTCATTATAAAAATAATTAAAATTCATGGTAAATAGATAGCCAAGTCTAGGGTAATTACAATTATGGTCGTTTGGTACGAAGTATAACGTATAATTAATTTCAAAATTAAATTTAAAATTAGTTTATCTCACATTTAGTTGTGATAAAATTATATATAACTAATTCCGGGATTAGTAATCTCAGAATTGTAATGTTATTTTTATCCTTATAGGAGGGTGAAATAACAATCTCAAAATAATTAATTCCGAAATAATTTATTTTCTAACCAAATGACCCCTTAGGTGTGCATTAAATTATTTGTGTATGGCTTTTTGCTCGTGAGCAAAGAAGATGAGAAATGATGGAAAATAATGGACAGTTTTTTTTTTTTGTTAAATAAATCACACTCAAAAGTGTGTGTGTGTTTACACTGAGATTTCATTATAAAAATAATTAAAATTCATGGTAAATAGATAGCCAAGTCTAGGGTAATTAGAACTATGCCCGTTTGGTACGAGAGATAATGAATAATTAATCCCGAAATTAAATTTAAATGAGTTAATCTCGCATTTAGTTGAGATAAAATCACGATATAACTCCCGAAATTGTAGTATTATTTTTATCCCTATAGACGGATAGGATAGCAATCTTGAGATAATTAATTATGAAATGACTTACTTTCCAACCAAACAACCCTTGAATAGTTTAGGTGTGCATTAAATTAATAGTACCAAGTTTAGAAGTGTAATGAATATGTTCAACCTCCAAAGGATTAACGAGGTGTAAATATTTACTCGTACCCAATGTTTATATAATTATACATCAAATCAAACAATTTAATATTTTAGCAATTTATTAATTAAAGTGAGAATAAACAAATGTGTGTATAAGTATTTTTTATTTATTAATTTGATATAAATATTGAGTCGGCGTAAATTTTTACAAGATAAAGAACAATTATCCACTAATTTCTCTCTTGATGAATCAATATTAATAAATTTGCCTTTTGAACACTAATTTATATGTGGGTTCCACTTCATTCTTGCCTCGGATATTCCTTGTGAAAATTACGGATGTTAATCTATTTTGTGAAGTATTCTACCTTTTAGTTGTTAATTAGAAAAATAATCCATAAAAATAGTAATTAAAAAGTCACTATCAACAAATAACTTGTTTGACTATTAATATCTTGGTTGAGAAATGATGAATTAACTAATGTTGAGAAATATGGAAAGTAGAAAAGGTTTAAAACATTTAACTAATGTTTTGGCCTTCAAATTAAGAAATATATTTTGATAATTATTCATAGTCACAATACTTGTGAAATTTTCTCTTAGAAATAAGTAGACCATAAAGGAGAAAAATGTAGCTTTTTAGTTTTCCCCAAATAAATTAACATACGATTTACCATTTTTTTTTTAATTTTTTTTTTTTGTGTGTTAGAAAAGCAAAGTGCCATTTTTCAAAAGTCTGTTGACATGAAATATAAGTATGCTTGACAAAATACATATTTAAATATTTTTAATTGTATTTTCTTGAAGTGGGGATATTTTTAAAGAAGATTTTCTACCTCGTCTATTTATTACAAAAAAAAAAAAACTTCCTATTTAAAATCGTAACCTAATGAAATCACTTGCCTCGTATTACCATATATGAAGGTTTATTGGAGATTTCAGAGATTGGTTGAAAAAGGTTTTTGGTAGGGGTGTTCATAAAAATTCGAAAACCAAACCAAACAGACTAAAAAAACCGATACTTTTTTGTTTGGTTTGGTTTTGGTTTTGAAATTTAAAAACCGATCAAATTTGGTTTGGTTTTGGTTTTAATTAAAAAAACCGAACCAAACCGAATATAGGAGTAGCTATTTTAAATTTATTATTACACACATATATATGTATACTTTTACACAAAGTTTTAAAATTTTTACAGTAAATATTAATCGTTTGCACTTTTAGTACAGTTCTTTACCTTTACATTCTAGTTTAATTGGTAGTTTTCTTTTGTTAAGTGTAAGAATCTATTTCATGTTAAAAATAATATATTTTTAATTGAGTCCTTAAATTATTCATCACTATTTGATACAATTATCATCAATATATCTTGGTAAATAATAGATTTCTCAAAGGGCAATTAATTTGATAGTGTTACGTTGAAAATGTAGTCGTCGAAATGTGTGTTTGGTAGTATATGTCTTATATTTAAGAAAAAACCCGACAAATAACCGAAAAACCAAAAAATTGACATAAACCGAATCGAGAAAAACCGACTTAATTGAGTTGGTTTGGTTCTAATATTTGAAAAAACGACTTACTTGATTTGGTTTCTTTTTAGGAAAAAAACGATCCAAACCGAACCATGAACACCCCTAGTTTTTGGTATAAATATAGTAGCATTTTTTGTGTAATAATGTCCTAGATTATCAAGATTGTTTTACAAACGATAAATGAAAAATGAAACTACAATTATTAAACTAAAACTCTAACCTCGAGGAATAAAGTACATAATCTAAAAGGGATAACATACACTTTACCCCTCCAAATTTATTTCAAAAAGTTAGTTACACATCAAAATTTTACGCGTATTTTCTAACTGCTAATTTTGTCTTAAGTGAGTTTAATATATATAACTCCGCAAAATATAGAATCAATCTTGCTAATCACATTATCGCCACATCAATGCCACATCAAAATGCCATTTTATTTTATTTTATTTTATTAATCTACTCCCTTTTAAAAAATGAAAATTACGGATGCTAATCAATTTTGTGAAGTATTCTACCTTTTAATTGTTAATTAGAAATAATTCACAAAAATAATAAAAAGTCACTGTCAGCAAATAACTTGTTTGACCATTAATCTGTTGGTTGGGAATTGATGAATTAATTAAGGTTGAGAATTGAGCAAAGTAGAAAAGGTTTAAAACATTTAACAAATGTTTTGGCCTTCAAATCATTGAAGCCAAGAAAGATATCTTAATAATTATTCATAATCACAATGCTATGTAGTATCTTTTTAGTTTTCCTCAAATAAATCAACATACAATTACCATTTATTTTTTTTGTCAGAATAACAAAGTGTCATTTTTCCAAAATCAGAATGTTGACATGAAATACATTTTTAATTTTTTTTTGAAGTGGGGTTATTTTTAAGAGAATTTTTTTACCTCAATTATTTATAAAAAGAACTTCGTATTTAATATCATAACCTAATGAAATCACTTGCCTCATATTATCATATCGTTCAAGAAGGTTTTTGGTATAAATACAAGTAGCATTTTTGTGTATAATAATATCCCAGATTATCAAGATTGTTTTAAAAATGTGATTTTTGATAGAATTGAACTTAACTTTGAATTATGCAAAATGAAATTGCAATTATTAAACTAAAACTCCAATATCAAGGAATAAAGTACATAATCTAAAAAGGGAAAATATCTACTTTACTCCAAATTTGTTTCAAAAGGTCGTTACACATTTAAATTGTGCGCGCGTTTTCTAACTGCTAATTTTGTCTTAAGATAGTCTAATAACTCCCTGGAAATATAGAATCAATCTTGTTAAAGATGGTATTTATATACTTTTCATCACATTATCGACATATCAGCGCCACGTCAAAATGCTATTTTGTTTTATTTATTCATTCCATTTTCCTTTTTTTTCATTACCTCTTCAAAATGCAAGTATGTATTTTCCCTAATTTAAATTTTTCGTAAACTGCAATTATCTTGACTCTTGAATAGTATTGATCTAACATGATTTATATAAAGTAAAACTATTAATAAAGTATATCGACTCTCATCTGTTGTCCTAGATTATCAAGATTGTTTTGAAAACGAAATTTTTGATAGAATTAAACTTAATTTGAATTATGCAAAATGAAATTGCAGTTATTAAACTAAAAGTCCAATCTCGAAGAACAAAGTACAGAATCTAAAAGGGTTAATGTATACTTTACTCCTCTAAATTTATTTTTAAAATTCAGGTACACCTCTAAATTTCGCGCACATTTTTTAACTTCTGATTTTGTCTTTAGTGAGTCTAATAACTCCCTGAAAATATTAATCGATCTTACTATAGATTATATTGTACACTTTCAGTTACACCTCTAAATTTCGCGCGCATTTTTTAACTTCTGATTTTGTTTTTAGTGAGTCTAATAACTTCCTGAAAATATTAATCGATCTTGCTATAGATTATATTTATACACTTTCCATCATATTATCGTCGTACCAGTGCCACATTAAATGACATTTTATTTTATTTGTTCATTCTTTTTTTGTGTTTTATTTATTCCCTCTTCAAATGTAAGTACGCATTTTTTCCAAATTTAATTTTTTCGTAAAGTGTTGTTGTCTTAAACTCTTGAATAATATTGATTTAACATGAGTTATATCGAGTAACATAATTAATAAAGATTCATATATCGTCTCTAACATGTTGTGATTGAGATGTAATAATTATTATTACAATCATTCTCATTTGAAATTATTCTACATAATAGGCAAAATATAAAACTAATCAGCCGGTTCGCGGTAATTGTATCTGCTAGCCGAAAACTATATAATATATGCATTTAAGATCACAACCTAAAGAAATCACTTGCTATCATGAAGGTTTACTGGAGAATTCAGAGATTCGTTCAAGAAGGTTTTTGGTATAAACATTAGTAGCATTTTTTGTGTATTAATATCCTAGATTATCAAGATTGTTTTAAAAATGAGATCTTTTTGTGGTAAAATTGAACTTAAATTTGAATGATGCAAAATGAAACTGCAATTATTAAACTAAAACTCCAATCTCAAGGAACAAAGTACATAATCTAAAAGGAATAATATCTACTTTACTCCTCCAAATTTGTTTCAAAAAGTCGTTACACGTCTATTTTTGGCGCGCATTTTCTAACTGCTAATTTTATCTTAAGTGAATCTAATAACTCCCTGAAAATAAAGAATCAATCTCGATAATC